CGGCTTCTGGATGGGTTAGATCCAGAACAACACAGCACCTCTGACTCTGAGCCAGCTTGTCATCACTAAGATCAATGCGCCTGTTCGCAATGCCTTCAATTGTCTTTATTTGACGCAGATTGGATCGTGGCAATTGCTTCAAAAGTAGATGTTCGGCCGGATAGCATTTGATTGTTTTATATCGAAAAAGTTGTCAAGCACTGGCTCCCACAAACAGGCTGTCTGGAACTGTCCTTAGAATCTTCTCCGCTTGGACGCTTTCTGGTCACTACGCCGCCCTGCGCCTTAGGTATTGCCATTTCACTCTCGAAATTGGAACACGATTGAAAAGAGCAAAGAAGAGCTCTGAGAACAATGCTTTGAAGAGGGTCATCTTTTTGTCCTGAGAGGAAACAGAGCTCGTCATTGATCACCAATTATTCGATTGATTTCAACCCCACTGAGGCTCGCTGAGGGTGCTGCATAGTCTGCTTTGAGAAGTTTGGCTTGCATGTCGAAGGGCTTCCTTATTTCCTGACTCAACTCTCTCCACAATTGACCAGCCTGCAAAGGCATAGACGTGGAATTGGTGTCTTCCATGTTTCTTCACGATAATAACATTCTCACAGTGACGCGGATACAAAACGATGCAAACAAACAGCTCATCTAGGCCCTAGGCACTAGGCAAACAAAATAAACCTGCCTTCTTCGAGACTTCTGAACCCTTTCCAGTCCCCAAAGACTTGGCAATTGCTTCGCGATTTTCACTCAGCCAAAGGAAGTAGGCAGACGAGGGGCGACGTGGCCTGCAGCTTCCAAGCCAGCAGGGCAGCATTTCAACAAAAAAACTTCTAGCTAATGTCCTTGTGCCCTTGTTTCTAGCAGCAATGCCTATATTACTAGTAGCAAAACAGTCCGAGGCTCGAACTGTTCGTTGGCCATGACACCACAGGCACAACACGTAATGCTGCTGGTGATATCTCAATGCTGCAACTGCTGATCCTTTCTCCGAGCTTTCACAAGCTCGTCCCTGTACTCAAATGCAAACCCATGCAACATAGAATGTACTGTACGTGCAGTGTTGGCACTGTCGTGACTTCATGAGGTTTGTGGCATGCAAAGGAATTGGAGGCAGGAACCCTCCATCATGGTATGTTGCCTTATCTTACTGAGTCCAAAGGACTGCAAAAGGGAAAGGTGGAGATGCAAGAAACTGATGGAAACTAGCCTGCTCACAAGAATCCAAGTCTTTGCACACAACTTGGTCTTGGTTTTTGTTGTGCCCAGCACACATCGACTAACACCAGCTTTGCCAGCTGCCTATACATCAAAAGAAATATGCACAAAGGACATGTGGCCTGACTTGACAAGTGCATCAGGCAAGTGTCCTTCATGCAGCCTTTCCAACTTTGGATCTCTCCGAACAACAGCCCTGAAAACGTTGACTGCTTGTATGTTCTTCTGGCCCATAGGGCCGTGCGGTAAGGCGAAATCCACAAGTGTAAAGCTAATGCTCAAGATTTGAAACACTCTTTTCCGCTTTTGAGAATGGAGGCCTTCAAGGATGTCGCTCATCCCTCAGTTCTTGGCAGACCAAAGCCACTTTATAACATTACCTAACTTGTGTTTGGCATCCAATGTACCGGTGTGACCTCTGCGTCTTGGAAGAGAGCCCGAGCTAGAGAACAACACATTGGGATTGGCAAAGGCAAAACAAAACAAATGCTTCTTCGCTGCAGGGGTATACTGCGCTCTCATCATGCACTAGGCTACTTTTGCATGTCATGATCCTGGCTTCACTGAGCCTTTCCGGAAATTATATAAACAAAAATCATCGGTAGTTTCGCCTGCGAGTCACAAAAGGGGCCTCCTTGCATCCACCAGCTTGAAGCGCCGGCAGCCACCCATTGCGACAAAGACCACCTCGTGACGTTTAGGTCTACAAAGAATCTAGAATGCCAGGAGCTACTAGTAGCTTCTTGCTCCTAGTAGCGATGCCCTTTGTTACCAGTAGCTTCTTGTTCCTAGTAGTAATGCCAGGAGCTACGCTTGTAAAGTCCGAACATGTGGGGCATGTAGACCCAAATGAAGGCAAGAATCAGTGCCAGTTAGGAAGGATTGAAGGAACATCAGCATGGCCACATAGATCCAGTCAGGACCTTTTCGGTTGCCAGTCGGTAGGAAAAAAAGGTAATCATACAAACAAATACAATCAAGTACATGTATGATTGCTGAGATTGGTCTGTGTATGGCACTGCACAAACAAAAGGAAGAATCAGCTTGCTGCAATCCGGTGGCCACTCGAAGCCCCACGGACTGAAGCCACCATCGCCACCGGCTGTGATGCACTAAATCGATCGCGGAAAGCCATCATGGCGTCCTCCCAGACTCGGTACACACATCTTGACTCGCGGAGGCTCTCGACTTGTAAGTGCCCGGAATGCCATGGTCAGCAAGTTTTATGGGAAGATGGCATCCTTGGGCCTGTTTCTGTTATCCGTTCTTTTAACTAACATCATGCCAGAAGCTCAAATGCCTTGAAAAGAGCAACTTAGCAGCTACTTGCTAGATTCAAAATGCTGAGCCTGAAGAGACTGGCTTGTTGAAAGTGTTGAGAAAGTGCGGGCCTCTCTGAGGATTTTGGCCACGAGCTGAAAATCTGGAGAGCCTGCTCCACTGACTGCATCCCAGCCCCGAGCAGCGCCAAATCCAACTGGGCAACAGGTTGAACGAGAGCAGCGATTGTCACCGATCTGGATGTCATTGAAAGCACTTGGATGCCTTGATAGAATTTCATAGATCAAAGGATTCAAAAAACCCAGCGGGGGCAATCGATTCTGCAGGCGGTCTTCATTCCACCGTGCCACCATAGCTGCAATGAGAGGAGTTGAGGCAGAGGTGCCAGACATGGCCTCAAGCTCTTCTCCCATGAGCACGAGGTAATTGCTGGAAATGGCGGCCAAATCAGGGAACCCACGACCGGAGCGATTGAACATCAACTGATCTTGGCCAGGGACTGGACTATCCTTTTGTTGGAGATAGTGCTCCACAGCTTCATGTTGATACCATGGTCGCAGAAAATCAGAAGAAAATCCACCTCCTGATGTGATTCCTCCCCCTTTGTCTGATGTACAAACAACTTCTCCATCCTGGGCACATTGCACCATCACATTCTCCGATGTATAACCACAAACAGGCACATTCTCTTGGGCAAGTTGAGTTCCACCTACCGAAGTCACCCAGGGCGACGAAGAAGGAAACTCTTCTCTGTTTCGACCGCAGTACTTCTTCCCATCCTTGGCCACAAAGTTTCCACTGACACCATCATCCCCACTGGCAACGAGAACTGTGATGCCTCTGAGAGCAAGCTTCATGAACTCGTCATTGACCCTCCGCTTAAACCAGAGTGGCATGGTCAAGGCATCGTCAGAGTAAGACACCGAATGGACAAGTGGAATAGCTTCATCCTCCGTGTCTTCCAACTGCATCAGCCAATCGAGGAAAGGTTCTTGACGCGTTGCCAGCTCAATGGAGGGAACGCTCCAAAATATGGTGGAAACATTTGCCGCCAGCGATGTGATGTATTGGATATCGAGCTGTGCCTCGCCTCCAAGAACAGAGCCTGCCATTGGTTCATTCTCTCCTATGAGGCTCAACTTCCGCCTTGTTCCCCATTCTCGAACTCCCATCAGCTTGAAAAATGCGTCCAAGTCATTGGGATTGTAGTACTGCCCCAGGAACTCGGCAACAGAGATACTATTGCGCGGATGGCGAACAGGTTCATGCATCGGAATGTTGTAGTTTCGAGAAAGCAACGAGGGCGTGGTGTAGGCCATTGGCCAAATTGGTAAGACTTCGTTCGGGTCACTGAAGTCTGAAACTGATCCATCTGAAAAAAAGTGATCGGATCCTCACAGTAGTGCTGGCGTAGTTTTGAATATTGCCGAGTGTCGCATTAAATTCCATGCAGCTTTGATTGTCTTTGGTCTTGGCGATCTTCTGGCCAAGGGTGTCTGGAACAGCAGGAACTCTGACAAGCTTTTGCCAGTTTGTCGCCGTTTGCAAGACTAGGACATCAAAGGCAGTGATGAGCAAGGAATGTGGGCTGTTTTTGCAAATTCCATTCTGAACTGTGTCTTGGTTGACAATTTTGTCCTTGCAATAGGCCACAAAGTGCACACTGATGAACTGATCACCTGCTGCAATCACAGGGCGAACACGAGGTGCAGTTCTTCCTGAGCGGTTGTAAAGGAAGGGCCCTACTTTTCTCTGCATTGGATGTGGAGGCATGAAGAGTGGAGCATTCAAAGAGGTCCCCTCCAAGGCCTTCTGAATGTGCTCGGGCAAACGGATTGGCTCTGAAGCTCGGATGGCAGTGGTTCCCGGCGCCGGCTTTGCTTCTTGGATCCGTAGAGTTGTACTGAAGACCCTCTCAACACATCCAACCGTACAGCTATACCTGGCAAAGTCCTTGCCAAAAGAAAACTCAAACTTCCCAGGTAGTTTGCTAAAGAATTCTTCCACGATATCTGCATTGTAAGCCGATGAGCCCGCTATGCCATAGAGCTCATCCCTTTCGAGATATCTGCCATACTCCGGGCTGTTGGGATCTGAAACTGCTCTTGCCTTGCGCTCCAGCAAATCCAAATTTCGCTGCCGCAGCGCCAGCAATACAATGATGCCTAGCAACATCTCCGAGAAGCTCCTACAACCCCACTAATAGTCGCTAGTCCTACAAGCCAGCACCTGGTAAACTCCGAGTACAAAATTGTCTTTTGTCATGTAAGTTGCAACTTGCCTTTATCCCTCTTTTCGCTCAGTCACTCGTGTTCTCATTTGGACGGTCTCCAGGCTGCCAGCCATTTTGTGAGTATGCTGCCCAACGTTCATCTGATAAGGCAACGCCAAGCGTGGCCTCAGTTGAAGGTCTGGAGTCTGGAGCCAGGTTAGATCCAGCTATAGCAATCGGACTCAGATGCAAGGAAAACTCAGGAACATGTTTTCAATTGGTGACTCTCATCAAGCAAACAATAATACATAATAATACAGTATGTACTCTATCTAAGACAGTGGAAAGCAAGTGACCCTACGTCTTAAGTCAATAGCACCACAGACTGAGCTCAAGGCCACTAGGATCACTAAGGCTCTCCATGTCATGGCTCCGGTGCTCATGGCTCTAAGACAGCAAACAGTTGAAGCACACGTGACTTGGCACTTTCCAGTTGTGTGACAATGTGGTTTCTCATGGTCCGAGTGCTACTATGATCTACTATGGTGTGAATAGCTCTTCAGAGACTCCAAGAACTTTTGTACTGCGGGGAAACGCACCCGTCTAAGATTTGGCACAACAAAGGCTGCTTTGCAGAACCTCTGCAACATTGGTGCCGAACAAGGCTGACGCGTCTGACGCATCTGCCTCGAAAAATATAAAAGTTGCGGCTGCAATCCTTTCGGATCCTTTCGCAATAAAATGCTATAAGTACAAGTACAAATCATGGAAACAAAAAGAAACTCTGGTAATTACAGTATGTTCTTTTGTTATATTTTGGTTATATAGTCTGTTTACAGGGGTTTGGTCTTGGACGTTTCAACGCGACCCCTTTAGCTATTGCTGCAATTGCTTCGCTCACGGTCCCAACTTTCAAGTCGAACCCTTCGCTCACTCCGTCTCCGGCTGCGTGGGCTCAACTGGACGCCATGAGAACTTGACCTGGCGCGGATGCAAGTCCAACAGATCCAACAAGTACAACAGTCCCAAGCGAGCATATGAGGTTGTATACAAGAGTACATGATACGAATGGTATGTGAGGAGTTTGGTGTACATTGGCTCTGCACCTGGGAGTCCATGATCACCATCAAGGACCACCAAAGTATGATCAGTGATTGCCGCAAAACAGTGAAAGGGTGCCCAAAGGAACAAAACTTGTGTGGTCTCCTAGGTTGGAGGCCATCGCTATTAGGTTCCTTTTGCTATTAAGTGCAGCCTGGGAAGGTCGAAGTGGTCGACAATATGCTGGTGCCGTCAACGGTTTGTAGCTGGCTTGGTAGGTGGTCCTTCGCAGACTCCGCCACAACAGGTTCCAACGACAAAATGATAGGAGATCCTGAAAGCTCCCTTTGCTCCAAAGCAAGGCCCCAGATTGTCCTGCCATCTTGCTCTGAAATCGTAGTCAACAGAACTTGAGACCTAGAGACCTAGAGGTGACATAAACATTTATCTTGCTCTTTCAAGTATCCATTGAGCACTCCTTGACAGTCCAGTGTGCAGAAGTTTCCAACAGGTCGATGGGGAGGCTTGCATGCCCAAGATGAGATGCAGACCTACAAAGCAAAGCACCTTCGGTCCATCAGTGGTTCCCCATGACGGCCCTCCTCGTTTCAGAGCTCTTTGATGACCCAAAGCCAAGGGAGTCTTCTGCCCTGTCGAAGGGAAACCAGTAGAAAATGATTGAAATTGCTTTCATACGTTTCTCAGTCTGACCGACTTGGCAAACGGGGCCTGCGATACTCTGGCACACCTGGGCGCAATCGCCTCAGCTTTCACAACACATCACCTTGAGGCCCTCAAGAAGAGATCTGAATCTGAGCTATCCACGCATGGCGCAAATCCTGCCTACTAGGCGCAGTGAAGGCCTGCAGTGAAGTGATGCTGAAACAGTTGAAACTATTTGAAACGATGTACATATATTATATATTATATATCTATTATATATAGTTATATATTTATATCTATATAAATGACAGGAAATATATAATTGATCAAATGGATCAGTTTGAACTCCTTGCTGTTCATGGCTAACTCCCTTGCCTCGGAGTAGCTGCTACTGCCAAGCGTCACGGCCAGTGGAGGCTTCGTTGACCTCTGAAGGATTGCATTCTGGCGCTGTTGACCGAAGATTCTCATGTCTGTCCCTTCGGTCTCGTATGACAGAGTCTGATGGCAGTGCCTGTTGCCATCTCTGAACGATTCTGCAAGCTGCCGATTGATGCCTACAGGCTCTTTGCCGTTGTAAACACCGGTCTAAAATGGTCTAAACATGATCATCTAAACGTGTGCATCTATTTTGCTCTTGGTCCTCTACACAAGAGTTTTAAGCTGTGCAGCACACCTGCTCCAAGGAGTGGGTTCTCTTTGAAGTTGTAGGTATACTCGCACATGTTGCGGTTGTGCCTAAATCAGTAGCATCAAACAGAGTATGGGAAGGATGCTCCAGTGCTTCAGCTCTAGCAATTCAAAGGCAGCCTCTTCTTGGCGAGTGTCCGCAATTTAGCCTGTTCCCTCCATCAAACTAGGTTACATTACTGATACATGTTCGTCAAACATGCAACTTTCGGAACAGCTTAGGCGTGCTAAGGCATCTGGCAATTCTGCAACTTTCAGCTGAAGCCCCGCATGCAAAGTTCCTCGTTTCAGGACAAGAAACCCCAGCTCTGACGCAGTCATGACATCTCCGTACAGCAAGTCTGAGCCTCTGGCGCCTCTCACCGATGCAATGTATTTCACCCAGGGATTGTGTACCTTGGCGTGCCACATAATTTATCAAGATCTTTGTCCATGCCAAATAAAAAACTAGACGACGAGTGGCCCGAAAACATTTTTCATCACGTGTGAAGTCAGAGTGTGAGTTATGTGTTAAGTGTTCAGCGTGAAGTGGAGTGTGTTGAGGCAGTGTGTGGGTCTCTGTGTGTGTGTATCTATGTCTGTGTGTGTATGTGTCTCTGTCTGTATGTCTTTCTATGGTGTGGGTGCAAGTGATGATGATGTTTCTGTATGTCTTTCCACGTACATCGTGTGAACAATGTTTCTCAATCTGTGGGTCTCTGTGGCCCCAAGGACACAAAGCTGTAACTCCCTCACCGGCGGGCAAGGGGCGACAGCTCCGCTCAAGGTCGCAAGCATTCGAGCTGCTGGGGAAATGGTGAAGGTCTTCACTGTAGATATAGTGAACCAAGTAGCGCGCAGGCCTCCCAAACCCTCCACCGGCGGCCAAGCGGTGACAGCTCAGCTCATCTTCGAGAGCATTTGAGCTGCTGGTAAAGGGAAATAGTAAAGCACGTGGCTCTTCTGTCTGGGAGCCCGGACCTCGCTGAAACGCTACATCCACCTCAGAATGTCCATTCCTTGAGAAGCAGGGTTCACGCCTCCAGGAAATCTCACCGAACAAACCAAGCTGGAATGAAAATAGAAAATTGCTGAGGCAGCTACGCAACAAGTTTGGCGAAGCAGTGACCTGTGGCTCAGGAGCGCCAACCCTGGTGTATTTCTCTTCCAGCTTCCCAGATACTCCGCGTACTAAAGTGGTACTACCAAGTCGCCAGGTCTCATCTTCTAGCTCCCCAGATACTCCGCGCACTGAAGTTATACTACCCAGTCGCCAGTTCTCATCTTCCAGCTCCCCAGATGCTCCGCGTACTAAAAAGTTGTACTACAAAGTCGCCAGTTCTCATCTTCCAGCTCCCCAGATACTCCGTGTACTAAAGTTGTACTACAAAGTCGCCAGTTCTCAGCTTCCAGCTCCACAGCTTGCTCCGCGTACTAAAGTTGCATTAGAAAGTCGCCAGTTCTCATCTTCTAGCTCCCCAGATACTCCGCGCACTGAAGTTATACTACCCAGTCGCCAGTTCTCATCTTCCAGCTCCCCAGATGCTCCGCGTACTAAAAAGTTGCACTACAAAGTCGCCAGTTCTCATCTTCCAGCTCCCCAGATACTCCGCGCGCTACAGTGGTACTACCCATGTCGCCAGTTCTCATCGTCCAGCTCCCCCGTTACTCCGCGCACTAAAGTTGCACTACAAAGTCGCCACTTCTCATCTTCCAGCTGCCCAGCTACTCCGCGTACTCAAGTTGTACTACAAAGTCGTCAGTTCTCAGCTTCAAGCTCCACAGCTTGCTCGCTCCCCAGATGCTCCGCGTACTAAAGTTGTATTACAAAGTCCCCAGTTCTCAGCTTCCAGCTCCACAGCTTGCTCCGAGTACTAAAGTTGTACTAGAAAGTCGCCAGTTCTCATCTTCCAGCTCCCCAGATACTCCGCGGACTCCAGTTGTGCTACAAAGTCGCCAGCTTCCAGCTCCCCAGATTGCTCCGCGTGTTCTCATCTTCCAGCTCGCCAGATACTCCGCGCACTAAAGTTGTACTCCAAAGTCGCCAGTTCTCAGCTTCCAGCTCCGCAGATTGCTCCGCGTACTAAAGTTGTACTACAAAGTCGCCAGTTCTCAGCTTCCAGCTCCACAGCTTGCTCCGCGTACTAAAGTTGTAATACGCGCGCGCATGGGACAAATCGCACTCTCGCCTGCCTTTCGCGCGCTCGACACGCACGATCTCCGCAGAGGGTTGCGCGGGCACCGACCAAATCGCACTCTCGCCTGCATTTCGCGCGCTCGACACGCACGATCCCCGCGCTACCGTTCAAGTCGCGCTCTCGCCTGCATTTAATTACGCGCGCTCGGCACGCACGATCTCCGCAGAGGGTTGCGCGGGCGCCGACCAAATCGCACTCTCGCCTGCATTTCGCGCGCTCGACACGCAGGATCTCCGCAGAGGGTTGCGCGGGCGCGGACAAGTCATGCTCTCGCCTGGATTTCGCGCACTCGACACGCACGATTTCCGCAGAGGGTTGCGCGCGCCACGGACAAATCGCACTCTCGCCTTTCGCGCACTGGACGCGCACGATCTCCGCAGGGCACCCGGATCATTTTGGAACCCAGAAACGGATCATTTTGGAACACGGATCACTTTGGAACACAGAGGAAAAGAAAACTTTCCGGGACTGCAGTCTGACACCAGCTTCGCGGATCATTTTGGAACACACATCCTTCGGTAGTGCTTCGAAGGCATCATTTGCTAGTGAAAAATGAGCGTTTCGTACGAGACTTCCTCCAAAAGTGAGCCGCGCAAGTCTCCAGAACGAGCGTTTCGTAAGACTTCCTCCAAAAGTGAGCCGCGCAAGTCTCCAGAACGAGCGTTTCGTAAGAGACTTACAAAAGTGAGCCACGCAAGTCTCCAGAACGAGCGTTTCGTATGAGACTTTTTGCAAAAGTGAGCCACGAGACTTCCTCCAAAAGTGAGCCGTTGGGTTTCTTTTGGTTTGCCTTAGGGCCTTGCTTCTTTAGGATGTCTTTGGGTTGGACTTAGGCCTTCACTTGAGGGACTTAGGGCTTCACTTATTTAGGGTCTCTGGTTGGTTTGGCTTAGGGCTTTGCTGCTTTACAATGTCTTTGGGTTTGACTCAGGGCTTCACTTCTTTAGGGTCATTTTTGGTTCTGCTTAGGGTTTCACTCCTTTGGGGTCTCTTTTGGTTTGGCCTAGGGCTTTGCAGCGTTAGGATGTCTTAGGGCTTCACTTAGGGCTTCACGTCTTTAGGGTCTCTTTTGGTTTTGCTTAGGGCTTTGCTCCTGTAGGGTCTCTTTGGGTTTGGCTTCGGGCTTCGCTCCTTTAGGATGTCTTGGGTTTCACTTAGGGCTTCACTTCTTTAGGGTCTCTGGTTAGTTTGGCTTAGGCTTTGGTGCTTTAGGCTGTCTTTGGGTTTGACTTAGGGTTTCACTTCTTTTGGATGTCTTTGGGTTTGACTCAGGGCTTCACTTCTTTAGGGACTGTTTTGGTTTTGCTTAGGGCTTCACTCCTTTAGGATGTCTTGGGTTGGGTTTCACTTAGTGCTTCACTTCTTTAGGATGTCTTTGGTTGTGACTTAGGGCTTCACTTCTTTAGGGTGTCTTTTGGCTTGCCTTATGGCTTCACTTCTTTAGGATGTCTTTGGGTTTGACTCAGGGCTTCACTTCTTCAGGGTCTGGCTTGGTTTTGATTAGGACTTCAGGGCTTCACTTCTTCAGGGTCTGGCTTGGTTTTGATTAGGGCTTCGCTCCTTTAGGGTTTCTTTTGGTTTGGCTTACGGCCTTGCTTCTTTAGGATGTCTTTGGGTTGGACTTCGGCCTTCACCACTCCCCCCAAAAAAAACTTACCAGAAGACACTCCCCGGAAACCACTTCCCAGAAGCCACTTCCCAGAAACCGGTCCCTAGAAACCGGTCCCCAGAAACCACTTCCCAGAAACCACTCCCCAGAAACCACTTCCCAGAAACCACTCCCCAGAAACCACTCCCCAGAAACCACTTCCCAGAAACCACTCCCCAGAAGCCACTTCCCAGAAACCACCCCCAAGAAACCACTCAGAAACAACTTCCCAGAAACCACTCCGCAGAAACCACTTCCCAGAAACCACTTCCCAGAAACCGGTTCCCAGAAGCCAGTTCCCAGATTCCCAGAAACCACTTCCCAGAAACCACTCCCCAGAAACCGCTCCCCA